CTCTGTACCCCTCTCGTCGGTCCCCAGCTCAGGCCGCTGTGAGACGGCAGCAAGCTGATGCGCGTAAAGGTGTTTAGAGCAGAGCCCAGCTCCGTGCGAGTGTGTGAGAGCTGAGCAGTAGGGCTGGGGTTAAAGTCGAGGCTCCGAGAGAGAGCCCACGGGCCTGGCCTCACACCTGCCCGACGCCTGCGCTGGCTTCCCTCGCCGAGGCCGCCTGAGCTGGGCCGTCAGTGGGAGCCGGCTGGGGCTGCTCAGAGAAGTGCAGAGTGTCTTCAGGTCATACACCGCATTGAGCTTCACATCCCGAGAGGATGCACAGCCGGGGCATGGGGGCCGCAGCCAGTTTCCTGAGTCCTCAGCATCCCCTATGAACCCGGGCTTGGTTGTCTGTTTCTTTCACGTCTAGCTGGTTATCGATCAGGTCAGAGAAGCACGGGGGGAAGTGTGGGAGAGAGGGGGGAGCTGGGAATACAGCCTGGAGAACTCCCTGCCTTTGATCTCATTTTGACCTCCCCCCACAGTCTCCCCTTGGGGGGCTGTGTAAGACAGACCTCAGCCAAGGTCACCGGGGATCTCGGCGTCTGGTAGAGGAGTCAGTGTTACAGAAGTGACTTTATAATTGGAAGTAATGGCACAGTCCCGGGGGGACGTGGGAGAAACCAGGGTGCCACTCACTGGTTCTTCCTGCTTGGGGCGGGGTGAGTTGAAAAGTCTGGACAAGGATTGAACTTTTGAGCTGGGACTTGGAAAACAAGTCAGAGCTCACCATGCGGGTAGAGGGCTCAGAAGGGTGGGGGCGGGGCATTCCAGGCGGCGGAGCGGTGGAGCAGCGTGTGGCTGTGTCCCTCCCCTGAGTCCGCTTCCAGAGTGAACCCACATGCCCCTGTGGCTGCCCGGGGGCCCTGAGAGGACAGGGCAGGGGCCTGGCACGCAGGAAGTGCCCAGGAAATGCCTGTCAAAGCAGCGAGTGAGCGAGCAGGGGTGTCGTCCTGAGCCCTGAGCGGCGGTCACGCCCCGCGTGGGCTGCACACCACCCCATGCCGCATACATAAACAGGCGATTCTGATGCACTGGAGCCGCCCTGTGTGGTCCTAGGGAAAACATAACAGCATCCTTGTTTTATTAGTGGGGAAACCGAGGCCCGGGGCAGTTAAGTGGCGTGCTTCAGCCCGGGGGCAGCTGAGCCGAGATGGGTTTCCTGGCATCTGCTGTGCCCACCGTTCTCCCGGCAAGGTCAGGGAGCCAGGTGGGGGTGGGGGGTGGGGAGCCAGAGCCCGGCTGCCTTGGCTGCTGCGCTGGGCGTGATTGGGCTGCCTGTGTGAAGTCAGGGGGCCTTCCCAGCCACGGAGGTTTGCAGGCCTTTGTTTCACGCCGGCCGGCCCTCCCCCGCTGCAGGCCGCCCCGCCGCCCCGCCGCCCCGCCGCCCCGTCCCCGCGGAGGGAACACTGGGCCCTTGTTTCCCCGGATGCTGAGCGCTGCGCAGACAGCGCCCGCCGTTGGCCTCCCCCCGGGTGGCGTGACGGGGCAGCGCGGCGCCCGCGGACCTCCTCTGGCCACGCGGGCGGCCCTGCCGTTGAGTGCTCGCTGAGTTACTGGCCGAGGGGCACCAGGCAGACCCCTACCCCTGAGCAGAACAACACGCCCCTGGGACAGTCAGCCCCCTCCTCTGGGGGCAGGCTGGGGTCCGAGAGACAGAACGACACAACTGGGACGAGCTGGCTTCCGGCCCGAGCCCCTACACCACCCCGTCTGGGGAACAGGCAGAGCCTCTGGGGTGTGTCCCCCTCTTCTGTGGCACCTCCCTTCCCCCGAGGGCCCCCTCCTCAGATGCGTCCTGTCCTCTGAGGGTCCCCCTCCTGAGGGGGCAGCCTTGTCTCCCCCTTCCCAGCCAGTGGGGGAGACCACAGCGCCCTGGAGGCGTGTGCAGGGGGACCGAGGCTTGCCCGGCCACCCGAGTGACTGACGCGGGGCCGGAGAGAGCGCCTCTGGGAAACCCCGGCGGCTTTGCTGTGGCCTCAGCAGAGACGCTGCGGCCAGAGGCGGCCGAGCAGGGGCCGGAGCAGGCCTGATGCGTGTCCCAAGTTGCCGTTATCGTGAAAGGCATAAAAACTGGCATAAAAACGCTCGGAAAATACACAAAGGAAGGTGGCCGGCGTCCAGAGCTCAACTGTTTACCTTCCTCGGAGTGGCCGGGAACGCGGAGAGCTTGTTTCCCAAACAGCCGTGGTTGTCAGGTCTGCGCGGGCCCCGGCCGCTGCCAGGCGAGGACGAGCCAGGGGCATCTCGCCCGCCACCCCCTTCCCTACACCCACGGGGACCCCGCGGCTCCGCCCGGGCTGCTCGCTGCCCCTCGTGCTGCTGCACGGAGACCTGGGAGGGCCTCGTAGAGGTGCGGTTTCCGACCGGCCCCGGGGCGCACTGCCCAGCACCCCTCCGGGGACCCGGGTCTGTTCCGTGTGGGGACAGACCCAGTTCTGGGGGGCCTGCCAAGGTGGGGCCACGGGGCGCAGCCACAGTGGGCTTGTGTCGGCGGCGCCGTTGGAGAAGTTGCTGTCTCCGCCCTTGTTACCACTTCCCCCGCCTTCTCCGTCTTCCTTCCAAGTCCGCTGCTTCTCTGGGAAGTGGGGTCGAGCAGGAGTGTAGGCGCGAACCTGCCGCAGAACCAGAGAGGCCCTGGCCGTTTCTTGTTGTGGTTGGGGGGAACCGAGGCCCACGGTGGCCCAGCAGCCCGGCTGGGGCTGGAGCCCGTGGGTGTCACTCTCTGGCTCTTGTCCAGGCCCCAACTGGGCCACTTCCCAACTGTGCGGCCTTGCCCGGCCCTTTGTCCTTCTGGGCCCGTGGTGTTTGGGGACGTGAAGGGGGAAAGCCATCCTCCGTGTCTGGGCTTGCTGCGAGGACGAGCACCTCCCCGCACCCTGGAGCCCCGGATGAGGGGGTCGGCTTCTCAGCTGGTCTGCGTTTTGTTTTGTTTTGTTTTGTTTTGCATGCGTGCTCCTCACCATGGGGAGGGGAGCCTTCGTTATTTTCTTATTGTGAGGTCCGTGGGCTTTTCTTTTTTAAATATTTATTTTTAGAGAGAGGGGGAGGGAGGGAGAAAGAAGGAGAGAGACATCAATGCGTGGTTGCCTCTTGCAACCCCCTGCTGGGGACCTGGCCAGCAACCCAGGCATGTGCCCTGACTGGGAATCGAACCTGCCACCCTCTGATTCACAGGCCTGTGCTTAATCCACTGAGCTACGCCAGCCAGGTGGCTTTTTTTTTTTTTAAATAGGGGAAGAGCTGGCGCGGCCTGGAGCTTTGACCGGAAAGGGGTTTACAGGAGGGAGGACGGCCAGGTCCGGGCAGGGTCTCGGGGACCACCCGGAGGTGCTGAGGCCCCGGGAGCAGTGGGCTGGCAGCACCCCAGGCCTATGGGGACGGTGCGGGGAGGGTGGTGTGGGAGCCCTGGTAGCAACAGCAGTGGTCTTGGGGAGGGGGCTGCCCAGCCCACGGGGACTGGGGCTGGGAGGACGGTTACCAAACACCCAAATCTCTCTCCCTTTCTCCTTCCCGTCTCCTGTTGGTGCCTCCGATCGGCCAGACCTGGCCAGAAGCCGGAGGACAAGGGAGCCAGGTGGTTGTGGCTCTGGAGGACCGCTTCCCAGGGCACCACGTGGGCGCAGGGTGGGGGTCCCTGCACGACGAGCACAGGTCTGCGTGGCAGCCCCGCCACTTCCTCACCGAGACCCCGGGCAGGTGTCAGAAGTCCATGCTCCCTGCCCGTCTGTGAAATCGCCCCCTCATCATGTGGTTGGAAAAGGATGAACACACGTAAAGTTTCCAGCACGGCGCCTCCTGGAGCTGTCAGTTTTAGCTGTCGTTGTGATTTCTTTACCAGGGACTGTGAAACGGTTGGCTTGGAATCCCAGAGGGAGCCCCTGGGGGTGGGGCTGAGGACAGGGCTGGGGCTGGTGGCCTCATCTGGCTTCTCCTGAGGCCACCCAGGGGCCAGCCAGGTGCCGGGCTGGCTGTAGGCGGTGGTGCCGCGTGCCGGGCAGCAGACATCTGGCGGGTCAGGTAGCACGGTGTCGGGCTGCCTGGCTGTTGGCAGGTGCGCCTGCCTGGGGTCGGGTGATGCCGACGCTCTGTCCGCTGGCGTCTGTGCTCCCCGGGGGCCCGTCTTCATAACCTCGTGCTCTTGGAAAAGTAAACGCGTCGCCAGTGGGTCAGGGCACATGGAGCCCTGAGGGTCACGGGCAGCCCGCGCTCCTTCACGGCGTTCACGTGTCGTGATCGGCCCCGGCGCCGGTGTGGCGTGTCCGCGGCGGGCCTCTTGGGTGTGCGAAGATCACGGCTTTGCTGAGACTGTGTGTCGATGCGTGCAGTGACCTCTTGGACCTCAGCACACATCCCGCCGGGTGACTTCAGCCGTGCGGCTTCACCTCACTGAGCTCTTCCCGAAACACCAGGTTGTCGGGCAGATGGGACGTGCTCAGAGCACGCCCTCTCAGGAAAGGGGTTCCACAGTGGTGCCCGCTTGGCCTGAGGACTCCTCATCACCCGGATTCCACGCGTGTGTGTTTCTGTGCCCTGGGTACCTGGGTAGTGTGGGGCTCGGGGACAGGACACACGCGGGGCCTGACCTGGGGGAGTTCTAGGGATCATTTTTTTTTAAAGATTTTATTTATTTATTTTTAGAGAGGGAAGAGAGGGAGAAAGAGAGAGAGAGAGAAACATCAATATGCGGTTGCTGGGGGCCGTGGCCTGCAACCCAGGCATGTGCCCTGACTGGGAATCGAACCTGAGACACTTTGGTCCTCAGCCCGCGCTCAATCCACTGAGCTACGCTAGCCGGGGAGTTCTAGGATCTTAGCGGGGTCGTCCCGTTGGTCCCGTTTCCCAGGAGTACTAGCTCCCCCAGCCCCCGTACGCGCTCAGTGCCGCGGGGACGTGCAGAGGGCGGCGAGGGATGGGGCCGTGGGCTCCGGGGCTGAAGTTCTTCTCTGTGTCCTCCCTCACAGCTGAACCTCAGCCGGCCGATCGAGGAGCAGGGCCCCCTAGATGTCATCATCCACAAGCTGACGGACGTCATCATCGAAGCCGACCAGAATGACAGCCAGTCCCTGGAGCTGGTGCACAGGTTCCAGGTGAGAGAGGGCGGTGCGGAGGGAAGGGCTGGGTGCTTGGAGAGCTCCCGCAGCTCTCTGGCTGTGCGCTCCCTCCCCGGAAGCGGCTTTGCCACTGCCCAGACTTGGGCTTGTGGTCCGGCTGGGTGTGAGATGGGGTTGAACCGGGCGTGGCTGGCAGCCCCTCCGCCCTCAGCCTTCGCAGACCTGGTTTACCAGTCAGAGTCCCCCGCTGCACCCAGGTGCGTCTGCACACGCCCTCGAGCACAAGCCCTCACGCACACGCCCTCATGCACAGGCCCTCACACACACGCCCTCACGCACACGCCCTCACATGCACACGCCCTCACATGCACACGCCCTCACGCACACGCCCTCACGCGCACACACAGCCACGGGCTGGGGCCTGAGTCGGCACGCGGTGTGGAACCTCTCGCCCTGCTTGAAGAAAGGGGCCCCTGGGCCTCAGGGCTGAGGCGGTCACACTTGGCCCCGGGTCCTGCCCTGGGGGAAACCCGCGCTCCGTGCTCCGTGCCTCGACCCCGAGTGCCGGTCCCCGAGCGCCGGTCCCCGAGCGCGGACCACACCTCCTCCCGGCCGCCCCCGCCGCCCTGCCCCATTTCCCCGGCCGCCTGGGGCCTGGCCCCACCGTGGCCTGCCCACCACCTGGGGAGGTGCCGCCCGCACCCCCGAGGGCTTGTCCCTCCATTTTCTGTGGCGGACAAGAACGTGACTCGTTCCTCTGGAGAGCGGCCCCGGGGGCCGTGGAAAACAAGGTCATATTATCAGCGAAAGCGCAACCGAAACAGAGGGCCTCCCCAGGGGTGGGAGGGACGCCTGAGCTAGCACTTCCCAGCGCGTGACCGTTGGAGCCCCGGCCTCCTGTCTGTCTTTATCAGGACAAAGGGGACTCTCACTGCCACCCAGTAGCCGGCCCCCCACCCCCCGCTGATAGCATGTTCTCCCTCCCCAGGGTTCAGGGTCTGTGAACTCAGCCTCCCCCTCCTCCCCGAGGCTCTCATCCCCTCTCTGGCTGACTCGGCCACAGATCCTGCTTCCTCTGCAAGTGGCCCCAGATGCAGTCGTGGTCTGGTTGTGACCCTGCCGGTGGCCCCCTGCCTGGGGGAGGTGGCGCTGTGCTGTCCCCAGTGTGGTGCTCTCCAGGGCTGTTGCCTCGCCTGGGGCCTGAAATGTGTCCCCAGGGCGGGAGGCCGTGGGAAAGCCGTGTCCGGGCTCCTCCACACCCCCGCTGAGCCTGCTTCCTTCTCGAGAAAGGGTGTCAGTACCAGGACGTGTCACGCGGTGTTGGGACGAGTAAGTGGCACAGTGCACGAGAGGAGCTTCACACGGGGCTCAGGCCCCAGCGCGTGCAGCTCGGCCTCATTTTGATCACGTGACCACCCCGAGCTGTAGGTTCCTCTTCTGTGAACGGGGATGCGGGGCATCCCTGCTCCCCCAGGTGGGCGGGTCGCTGCGAGGAGTTATGTCCGTGGGCGTTGAAGTTCCTAATGTTGGCTGAGTGCTTCCACTGTTGCTCGTGTCCCTGCTGTCCCCCGAGGTAAAGGACTGCGACCCGCAGCCTGCCCCCTGCCCTGGGCATTGGAGGACAGCCCCCCCGGGGCCTCACCCCCTGCTCCCCACACACATGCACCCCGCAGCCCAGGGCAGGCGGTTACCGACAGGAGCACAGGGTGCCTTGTGTCCCTAGTAGTCTTGACACAGAGAGAAGGTCACAGGGAGAGCACAGCAGGGGGACATGGGGACACGCAGCCTAAGGGTTTCAGCACTGCATGGTTTCCCAGGGAGGTCTCGTTGGGTCCCTGGGGTCCGCCCCGCCACCCCTCCCTGGGCACCCAGCCCGCCCTCCGGTGACTGAGGTGACCTCAGGACAACCGCCAGCCTCGGGAGTTCTGGGATAAGCTTTCACGCAGTCTGTTCTGCTGCACGAAGCCGGATATCTGATAAGGCCAGGATGTGTCCTCCTCTGTGGAGAGAACAATCCTTTGGGGAAAAGGGTGACAGGCACTTCCCAGAGGCCCCAGGAAGCGAGGAGGCGGGCGGAGGGCCCAGAGGTGCCGGGGGAGGGCCAGGGGAGAGGCGGGCCCAGGGCTGGCAGGCCTCCCTGCCCCCCGGGCACGAGAGGTTCTCAGTGGTCACTGGAGTCAGTGAGGCAGTGATCATAGAAGTGTCCCCAAGTGGGAGCTGTCCTCTGTGACGGGGGAGGGGAAACGGGGACTGATTTTAGCTGAAGAGGCAGGACACGGCAGGTGTCGGGGCCCCCAGGCACCCCTCCCCGGGCCTGGCCTGCCCCGCCTGCCACACCCTACCACACCCTACAGGAACTCGCCCTACAGGGTGGCCCTGTAGGGTGGTGGCGTCGGGAGCTGTGGCGTTTGACCCTAGCGGCAGCAGCCGGGTGCGGTGGTGAGCGCCCTCAGGGTCCCAGCCCCGCTTTGCTCCTGACCTCTGGGGCTCAGAGGTGGCCTCGCCGCTGTGCCGAATCGAACCCGGCCACCCTCAGAGGTTCGCTGAGTGGGCACCAGCCCGAGCGGATGCTGTCAGGGCAGAGAAGCAGGAGAAGCAGCAGCTTTGCTCGTAGTAGGTCTTCTAATTAGGGAGGTGGCATCTGAGCCTGGCAAAAGTTGTGACTTTCTGTCCCATGTGGGGGCAGGGCCTGGTGGTATGGGGGCCTCCTGGTTGGTGGGGCCAGAGTAAGACCCCGGGGTGTCAGCAAAGAGCACACGTCCCCGCGGAGCCGCGGAGAGGCCGCTGTTTCCCGAGCTTGTCCCGCAAGGCCCTCTCTGCTCTGGGCACTCGAGTCCGTACCCCGTTTGGTCCGAGCAGACCAGTCTCTGGGAAGACGGAGTCTCTTCCCTGTTTTCCAGGGGAGGAAGCCGAGGCCTGCTCGTGCTTCTGCCAAACACGCCTCAGGGGCTTTGGCCGGCAGCTGACGGACCCCTCTGGGCTACGGGCCGGTGACTCAGGGTCACCTGAGGAGGAGGTCACTATCTGGGACAGCCTTCAACACGGCTGGCGCCCCAGGACGAAGCACTGGCTGGCAGATGCCGGGGAGGCAGAGGTGGCACGTCTGGTGGTCCTGGCCCCCTGGGGACAGATCCCGTGACGCTGCCCGGGGTCGCAAGGCCACTCCTCCCGCGGAGGGGACAGTGCACAGTCTGTGCATCATGCATCCATGGCTGGGCGGCAGCCGTGAATCCTCCTTTCTGCCTTGGGAGGTGGGTGCCACTGGGGCAATGAGCCGTCTGCAGGGCCCTTCCTGTGTGCACGGGAGGGAGGCCGCCCCTGCCCGCCTCGCCCCAGGCAGACCCACGACTTTATGGCCCCATCACCAGCCTGGAGCGGAGCTGGACTTTGTACGGCACTGGGTGCGGTGGGGGGAGGGGGCGGCACCAGCCGCTGGGGAAGCCCGAGCGCTGACCCGGCCCGCCGGCTGGTCCCTCGGTGTGTGTGTAGACGGTCCGGGTTTTACAGCGCAGGGCGTGAGGCATGCTGGGTTTCAGAAACACTCATGTTTATTAACCAGACAGTTGTCCGGAGTTGTAGGAAGAACGTGTGTACACGTTATTTTGGGGTTCCTTGTCCCTGGCGCTGTTGACACGTGGGCCGGATCAGTCCATAGCGCGGGGGCCGCCCTGTGGGTAGTGGGATGTTTAGCCACAGCCCGGCCTCTACGCAGTCGATGCCAGTAGCTCTGCCCCCACTGGGACAACCAAGCCCTGTGTGGACGTTGCTGGATGGCCCCGGGGGGAAGCTCGCCCCTCCTTGAGACCCCCCAAATTTCTCCGAGGACAGCAGCTGTGCGAGCTTCAGGGTCTGCCTTGCCGTTTCAGTGTGTGGACAGGGAGGTCTCCCTGGGCGCAGCGCCTGGGGTTTGGGGATTGGCGCGCTGGCCGAGAGGCCCGTGTTCTTGAGGGGCCTTTGCTTCAGTCACACCTGCGTGCGGCAGAGAGGTCACCCTGCTCGGGGGCCCGGACCGCCTGTCTTGAGGGGGAGGGGCGGGGCGATGCTCATGGAACCCAAGTAAACGGAGCAAGAGGGACCACGGTCTGCAGTTACGGTGAGCTCTAGGAAGGGGGAAAACCCAGGCTGGGGAGAAGGGGATTACTTCCCCATTTTTCAGGCGAGGAAACCGAGGCCCGAGGATGTTAAGCCACTTGCCTAGGTTCGCTCAGTCAGAACTCCACCCGTTTTTTTCAGCTTTGCCTCAGAGGGGCTTTGGCTGGCAGCTGGTGGACCCCTGGGTGGTGAGGGCCGGGGGCTCAGGTTCACCTGAGGAGGAGGTCGCCATCCATGGTTGTGAACCAGCTGGGAGGTTCTTGTCCCCTGTCCTGCAGCCGCTCTCCGAGAAGTTGGCTCTTGACCTCAGAGACTAAAAGTCCCGGTGAGCCAGGGGAGCCTGTGGAGCTGGCTGAGGGGACAGCACCTGTCCAGGCTGCTGGGCAGGGTGGGCACAGAGGCCTGAGGGCCCGGAGGACACTGGTGCGGCTGGAGGACAGCGGCCGGGGGGCGTCTGTGAACGAGCGTGCCCCGTGGCCTCGGGGAGGGGAGCGACAGTGGTCTGCAGTGCTGGGAGTCACCGCCAGGGGCGCCTCCGACAGTGGCAGCTCCCTCTGTTCTCGTGCAGCCAGAGGCCGGGGTGGCTGAGTGCGGGGGTGAGGGGCCCAGGTGGCCTCTGACCAGAGCGACCCTTGGCTGTTGCAGAGGTCAGCTGTGCTTCCAGGCAGCGCCTCTCAGGGCAGGCTCCCCGAGCTCTGGCTGTGACGCTTGCACTCCTGTTGAAGCAGGCGGGGGGCCTGTGGGCCTTGGGGGGGTGTCGCAGCTGCCTCTGAGAACCGAGAGTGGGTCTCTGGCTGTGAGGTGGGGCCGGAGCAGGCAGCGCAGGCCCGTTGCCTGGATACTGGGAAGCGATCTGAGGCGGGGGCTGCTCCACGGGCCCACCCGAGCAGGTGTGTGGAGGTGCGTCAGGGTTAAGATGGTGCTTTAGGAGTGAGGGCGCTGCT